AATTTTAATCCAAAGAAGAATGTGTTCATGGGATCAAACAGGAGACACCATATATATATATATATATATATATATATATATATATATATATATATATATATATATATATATATATATATATATATATATATATATATATATATATATATATATATATATATATATATATATATATATATATATATATATATATATATATATATATATATATATATATATATATATATATATATATATATATATATATATATATATATATATATATATATATATATATATATATATATATATATATATATATATATATATATATAAAACAAAGCAATAACTATAACTTGTATCTATTTTGCTCTGATACCAATTGATAGATTTGAAAGAATCGTTAGATACAAATTATTGTATATTATTACGTCAAAGAATAATTAAATATTATAAGAACGGTGTACCTAATAAGAAATTGAGAGACAGTCATCAGAAGAATGAGTATGAGAGGATTACTATCTTCATTACCGTTTAGGGTTTTCAGAGTATGTTAATTGTCTAATGGACCGACACTTAAATATTTAAACGAATGAGGGCAGATACCTCTCATTAGGCTTAACTGAATGGTCCAACCCATAACGGTCCATTCAAACACAAAACTCAATCAAATAATTCATCAATAATTAGTGTTTAATAACAATTGATCATACTATAATTAATTAATATCTGATTATGTAAATCCATTTGATTAATTAAATAATAAATCTAACAATCTCCCACTTATATAAGTCTGTGATCATATAAGAAATTTTCTATCGTAATTATATTTCTATCCAACTTTTTATCTTGAGATTTTTCTTAATACTAGTTTTTATCATAGGTTATTTTAGGGTTTCTTCCACCCTTTTGACAATTTGAGTGTCTTTCATTTGATATACTCTTCTTACTATATAATATACATTTCTTCTCTCTATATGCTTAAACCACTTAAATCTCATTTTCACTATTGTTTCTACTACATGTCATATCCTAACACTCTCTATCTAATAATGTCATTTGTAATTTTATCTCATTTGGTCTAACCACTCATCTAATGCAACATCCTCATCTTTTCTACACTTAGTTTATTTTTTGTGTTGGTCATACACAAACCCAACATTTTGTTCCATACAACATTGTCAGTCTTACAACTAATTGATAAATAATTTCCTTTAGTTTGAATGGTACTATCGTATCTGATAAAACACCAGAAGCTCTCCTGCATTTCAAGCACCTAGCTAAAATTCGATGGTTTACGTCTACTTCTATTTCTCAATTTTTGTGTGCACTATGGATCCAAAATATTTAAACTGTTTAATTTGTGATATGATCTCCAAATTTCCACCTGTAGTTAGAAACACTTCTCCTCTTGCTAAACTTACATTCCATATACTTTGTCTTACTTATGCGTTAGCAAAAGTCATATGTGTAACGCCCCAGTTTATTTTATTTATTTTTCATGATCAGATTATGCGATGTTGTGTAATTGTATGTGTGTTAGGGGTACCCTTGGTGTAAGGTAGTGGCCTTAAAGAGTAGAATTAAGGTGTTGGGGGTGTGTAAGGAAAAGTGTAGAATTTGGTGGTGTGGTGAGTAAGCCTATTAAATTATATTAGTTAATATTTAGTTAATTATATAATATTAGGTGGATATTATTTACTTCAAATAAATATTGAAGATTATTATTATTTTATTTAATTGGAATATTGAGTAAATTAGTAATAATAATAATATAAAATAGAATAAGAGAGAGGGTATTAGGAGGAAGTTGTCAGAACGTGAAAAATCAGAGAAAAGTGAAACGAAGAGGTTAGGGCTCAAGGGGGAAGAGGATATCACCATTGCTAGAGGTAGAAGAGAACTTTGCAAGAACTCTAAGGTAATGGTGATGTTCTGATTATCTAAGGGTTTGTATGATGATGGTGGTTAGATTATGTCTATGCTTAGGTTTGTGTTTCTCTTCTCTCTATATCATGATCATTGCTGTAATTTTGTAGATGTTGGAATGAATATTTGATTCATGAATTATGAATGGTATGATAATGCTCAAGTTGATGTTTGATTGCTGAATTGTTGTGTTGTTGCTGTTGGAACAATGTAGATAATGGAATTGTGTGATATATATGTTTTGTTGTTGATGGTTGTTGCGAGTCAGAGTCGAAACTTAAGTTATGAGTGTTTTAGATGGAAAGAATTGAGGTTCTGATATTTTGAAAACTGATTTTTGGTACAAAATAATATAGTGAACAAATTGTAAGGAAAATTGGGCTTTGGGGTGGATTAAAAGTGATTTTCGTTTGGAAAAGTTGCAGAAAAGTGTTTCTGCGTGCAGTGTAGTCGGTTACTAGAGATGGTGTAATCGGTTACACTGCTTTGAAAACGTGTTTCTTGGATAATTTGTGACGGTGTAATCGGTTACCATGATTTGGATAACCGGTTACACTAAGTGTGTTTTACGTAGCGTGACTGGTTACAAGGGGTGTAATCGGTTACCTCAATTGGTGTAACCGGTTACAGTAGGAGCAATTTTTGAAAAAAAATCTAAAATTTATACTTCAGTTTTGGGTGTCTGATTCGGGTGCCGTTCAAAGCGTTAGAAAGTTGACACGACGAACTTTATTCTAAAATTGGTTTCAGCACCTGAAAATGAATAATATTTTATATGGTGGTGTTAAATACATTATAGTATTTATGTTATGGTGTGACATATACTGTATGTTAATTTTGTTGAACGATTATAACGTGTGTTTGGTGCATGATGGCCAGTATTGGCGAAGTACATTGACTATGGTGGTGACAGTCGTTGTGTATGGTGTTGTTGTTGCATGTTGTATGTTGCACGCATTCATGGTGTTGCACATTGGTCCGTTTTTTGTGAGCCACAATCTTAGTTGGGGATTGAGTGTGAGTAGCTGATTTCGGAGGTGATGGAATCAATGAAGCGTTATCGGTGATGATGGTAATGAATTGGTGAGCTTTGATCCTAGGTGAGGATTAGAGCGGTGAACATGAGAGTTCACGTATTGGTACCACATGCATTGAGTCAAGTTATGAGTCTCATTATATTGCATATTAGTTGCCTTGTCATTAAGTTTGGATGGTTGTTACATCAATTGTGAGGGAGTGTGTTGTGGAATGAGTGATGTGCATGTAATAATCTGACGCTTGCTTATTATCATGCTTTCCTTTATATAATTGTGATATCTCACCCCTTCTGTTTGAATGTTTCCTTTACATGGGCACCGTATAGATAATCCACAATAGAGTATGGATGTGAGTGGAAGGTGAAATCTTCCTTTTATTTTATAAAATCATCGTCTACTCTGATGTGTAACACTAGGGGTTGATGTTTGTGTGTCGTTATGTTGGTGGAGACTTATGTTATCTTCTGTGTTGACTTTTTGATATAACTACATTATTTCATAATTATATTTTGAATAATTATTTAATGTTGATGTTTCTGCTACTTAAATAAAATTGAAGTTTAGACTTGGTGGATGTTTTACTACTATTATTACTGTTAGTAATTTTTAAAAGGTGACATGTGTTATATATCATGAAGTATGAGTAGGTTTTGTTGAACTGTAGCATCCTAAATATTTTTGTGTTGAATTTTACTCTGATAATTTATCTTAATTACACGGAGGTATATTTAGGGTGTTACAATACGCTTCTAAGGCTCGTCTATAACCTCTTATCTAACTCCTCTCCCGAGTCTCTAAATAAGACTATATCAATCTCCAAAAACATACATCTCAGTGCTAGCTCTTGTACATGTTCAGTAAGTACATCTAAAACTAAAGTAAAAAGGCAAGGACTTAGTATTTTGAACCACTATACATGAAGGAAAATCACGATATAAAACACAAAATTATTTTTCCCTTAGATCAATCTTACAAATGGACATGATCAGTGATAGAGCATTTACCTTTTATGGAGATCAATATTGATGTAGAATCTAAAGAATAACCATGAGCGCTGAACAAAGAACAACCCCTGTATTCAATCCACACGAACAAAGTGCCTTCAATCTAGCGTTAACTGCTACGGGTGAAGACTTATATATATATATATATATATATATATATATATATATATATATATATATATATATATATATATATATATATATATATATATATATATATATATATATATATATATATATATATATATATATATATATATATATATATATATATATATATATATATATATATATATATATATGTATATATATATATATATATATATATATATATATGTATATATGTATATATATATATATATATATATATATATATATATATATATATATATATATATATATATATATATATGTATATATATATATATGTGTATATATATATATATATATATATATATATATATATATATATATATATATATATATATATATATATATATATATATATATATATATATATATATATATATATATATATATATATATATATATATATATATATATATATATATATATATATAGAGAGAGAGAGAGAGAGAGAGAGAGAGAGAGAGAGAGAGAGAGATAGAGATAGAGATAGAGAGAGTACAAATAGGACGGTCAAGCAACAATTTGTTTAGCATAAGACCATTTACAATGGTAGATTTATTTAAAGTCAACACCACAAAATCATGTGCAATGGGTGTGTAATGTAGTGTTGAGTGTGTGTTGGAGGAGAGAGATGTTGAGAAAACTCAACACCATTTAATCTGCCACGTGGCTGTGTTTGATTGGCTGACCAGATTTTTATCCATTTAATACTTTGAACTCAATTATTTCGTTGCAAATTAATTTTTTTTTTTTTTTTTTACCAAAATTCATGATTTTTTTCTCTCTATAAATAGAGACTTGGTTCATTTGATTTGGACACAGAAAAAAAAAACTAAGTTTTTCACTATCTTAATTTTATTATTAGTGTTTATTTTAAAGTTAAGTGTCTTTTTTTAGTGAAATGGATCCCAATAATCATTTTAACACTCAAAATTCTCCTAATTTTCCATTTAACCAAAATCCCAACAATTTTCCAAATCCCAACAATTATCAAAATCCCAACTATTATCAAAATCCAAATCAATTTTCCAACCAACATCCTCAAAACATACCTAATTTTGGTTTTCCACCAAATTTCAACCAGACATCCTCTGTTCCAAACTTTCAAACATATTATGGATCTTTGCCGAGAAATCCATCTCAAACACCCCCGTTTAATGGTTATGTGACAATGGCGAATGCAAATTTTCCAAGTGGTGGTGTACCTGAATTTTCCGAGTTTTCAACACAACTAACTATTGGTGGCATGATAGTTTCTAATGAAGTCGGTCCGAATTCAGAGGATTCAACTCCTAAGAGCAGGAAAACTCAGCAACCAACATGGAACACTGAACAAAATTTGGTGCTAATTAGTGGGTGGATTAAATTTGGAACAAGCAGTGTTGTCGGGAGAAACCAGAAAGGTGAAACATATTGGGGTAAAATTGCTGAGTATTGTAATGAGCATTGCTCATTCGATCCTCCGCGTGATGGACCTGCATGCCGAAACCGTTTTAATTATATGAACAAAGTGTTGGGTAAATGGATTGGCGCTTATGATGGCGCTAAGCGTATGCAAGGAAGTGGTTGGTCGGAGAATGATGTTTTGGCAAAAGCGCAGGAATTATATGCATGTGGGAAGAATGTTAGATTCACTTTAATGGAAGAATGGCACGCTCTCCGTGATCAACCACGTTATGGTAGTCAAGTAGGAGGAAATATTGGCTCAGGAAGTAGTGGATCTAAGAGATCTCGCGAGAGTGATGCATGTGGCTCAAACACTGTAGAATCCAGTGCTCGTCCTATAGGAAGGGAGGCAGCTAAAAAAAAGGGTAAAAAGAAAAGCAAGGAATATGCCTCGGAGGTGGTGGACAAAGAATGGGCTGAATACAAAGAATTCAAGACGAAAGAGCTTGAACGATTGGACAACATAGCCTTGATGCAACAGCAGGCTAACAATATAGCCTTGGAAAAGACTAAAACCAAGAAAATGAAGATGTATCTAAAGCTAACTTCCGAAGAGCATCTAGATGACCGGAAGAACCAGCTGTTGAAAAAGTTGGAGGCAGAACTGTTTGATAATTAATTTCAATGAAGTATTTGTCAGTGTTGTGTTTGCTTTAATTATTGTTGTTTCAATATGCCAGTGTAGTGTTTGCTTTAATTATTGTTGTTTCAATATGCCAGTGTAGTGTTTGCTTTAATTATTCCTTATCTGATAATTAACTCTATACAATAAATTATTTCGAATCCGTCAGTGGTCCACCACCCAATTCGAATCTATTCCTTATCTGATAATTAACTCTATACAATAAATTATTTCGAATCCGTCAGTGGTCCACCACCCACATCCATTTATATATAGGGACTCATACATCCATTTATGTACCAATATCCCAAATCCCATCCAATCTACCTCCAATATCACAAAAAAATGGATCCATCACAATATCATTTTGATATCGCAGCCTACAATCAAAATCGTGAAATTGAAGAAAATTATATAGTCAATCGATTTAGAGAGCGTAGAAACAAAATATCGGAAGATAATGCACCTCGTAGTAGAAAATATCTCAATAGAGATCATGCAGCGGCAAACCAAAGACTAATTGACGACTACTTTGCCAATGAGCCTACATATGACGATGCAATGTTTCGTCGTCGGTACCGGATGAAAAAAAATGTTTTCCTTCGAATCGTTGGGGACCTTTCAAGTAGTGATAACTACTTCACCCAGCAAGTTGATGCAGCCAATAAAGAAGGTATATCACCCTTAGCAAAATGTACCACAGCAATCCGTGATCCAAATGTTCATCAAGAATTGCAAGCCGATCTAGTGAAGCACATATGGACAAAGTTTGGAATGTTCCGTGATTGAATTATTTGTGTGTTGTATTGCATTTTAAATTATTTGTATCGTACTAATTACGTTACTTGTGTGTTGTATTGCATTTTAAATTATTTGTAACGTACTAATTACGTTAATTGTGTGTTGTATTTTAAATTAATTTAAGATGATTTGTATCGTATCCAATTATTTAAATAAATTTTGTTTTTATTACAAAAAATTAAAAAATAAATTATTAAGTATTTATTATTTTAATTTAATTTTAATCGATAATTGTAATTTTATGTAATCATAAAAATAAAAATAAAATTTAAATAAGAATATGAAAATAAAAAGTGGTGGGGTAGGGTGTTGAGTGAAAAATCATTGGAGAGGGTAAAAGTTGAATGGGTGTTGAGTTATTAGGTGGAAGAAAATGATGTGGAGTGTTGGGAGTTGAAAAAATGGGTGTTGAGTTTGTAAACCATTGTAAATGGTCTAAGGGTTCTATTTATAGAGCCTCTTGTGTGTGATGCAAGCTAAACAAACCAACTAACCCTACAATGCCTTATAGTGTATTGTATTTCACTTAAGTGCATCATATCTTACGGTCTTCCGTAATTTACTTAATTAGATTGTACCTTACGATGTTTCTTATTTTACTTAAGTACATCATACCTTACAATGTTCCTTATTTCACTTAAGTATGTTGTACCTTACGATGTTCCATATTTCACTTAAGTGCATCGTACCTTATGATGTTCCATATTATACTTAAGTATACAATACCTTATGGTGTACCGTGTAACACCCTAAAATTCGACTCTTAATTAAAGAATAAAATCAATATTTTAGGATGCTTACTCAAACATAACATGCATACTTTCCAATTAATTTCAAAACTTGAAGAAAAATTCACAATAATTAACATAAACCTCCATTATCTCTTCAAATGAAGTACTAAATGAAATTAACAAAATCCAAACATTAAATCAACAATTCAAACAATCTGTACCCCGACGTTACATATCAGAGAAATAGTTCCAACTAAACGATGATAAAACAATAAATAAAAATGAAGAAAGCATCATAGTCCTCTTTCAACTCACAACAACATTTTCTCCTCTTGAGTAGTTGTACCACAATGTACAAAACAACCCAAAACAAACAAAAAAATGTGAGAATACACTCAAATATATTAACAGTGTAAAAGAATGTAAGGGTAACTTAAATCACACAATAAACAACACACATTCAATTTACACAAAAGCACAACCATTCAACTCACATAGTCTTTATGCATGCAATGTGACTCACAACTTGATTCTATGTATGTGGTACCAATTTGGACATTAGAGGTTTGTTGTTGATCTCGTCCATTCTATAATGGTTCCTCATTCGAACCGGGTTTCCACTTATGAACCATGGATGATCACTAGTCCCCATTTCCGAACCCGTGATTTGCCTTTACACTACCTCTTTGATGAGCTTTATAGCACACGAGCAACAAAAACTACCTTTCTTCTTCACTGCATGGAATTTCTTGCAAGACTTGTTCCATGCTAGTGGGCCAATCTTATACTACTAAAGGTTCAGAGTCCTTCCTAATTCAGGTGAATTCATTTGGTAGAAACCCTTAAAATTCTAACTCCTCTTGAGTTACCAGGTGACTTGAACTGTGCACCTCACTGCATTTGTTGCATCACCTGAGTCACAAAATCTTGTTACTATCCATGGTGCATACACTGAATCCATCAGTCATCCTTACTTTCGAACTCTTAGTCTGGTCCTACTGAGCACAAATATTACTAGAATTTTGGGGTCCTCATGGTCGCTCAACAATGGTTCTACCTACCATTCATATAGAATTAGGTTGATCAGGTCCAATGCACTGTGATAATAAGAATCATGTTGGTAATACACACATCTTAGGAAATAATGATTTACTTATAATATTTCAAAGTTGGGTCGAGAATCGACTTGCTCTTATACCAATTGTAACACCTTGTAAAATATAAATCTAGAATAATATTATACAAGTGTTAATTGGTATTGATACAATATAAGTGCCCAATGACATTATTTATATACATGTCCAAGATACCCAAAATACTACATATGGAACATAGTATACCTGAGTGCCTGACAAAAAAAACTAAGAAATATATACAGAAGAAACTGTCTTGAAACATCGAAGTCTTCAAAACATCTTTGCACTGCTTTACCTTTTCCTTTATCATGTCTTGAGTTACTTGAAAATTCAACAATATAATAGGGTGAGATAATAATCTCAATGAGTTCTCCTATCTTATGGGTCAACTCGACTTTAAAGAGTTACTATATGATACTCTAAATTAATTCATTCATACAATAGAATGACAAGTTGAGAATCTATAGGATTTTCACTTTGACTCAAAACATATAAACTTGAGTCCACATATCTCAAGAAATCACTATTTGGGAATACAAATAACAAAGTATCTATCCCCGACTAATCCCACATCTAAGACTATGAACATGGGTCACAAATCTTTGTATAATGATTCATCTATTACACTGTGAATTGTGATCCTCTATGGGACTCTAACCCACTTTAAGGATCACTCCTCGTATGAGAATTTAAACCACTTTGAGGTTCACTCCTCGTATGAGATTCTAAACCACTTTGAGATTCACTAATTGTATGGGAATATAACCCAATCAAGGATACGAATCAACGATTTGTCTATCCTGATCACTACTTCGCATATGAGTTAGATTCAAAATTAGCACGAAAATGGGTTACTCACGAATACATGATTATTCACCATAATCACTGCATAATTATACTCATTAGTCACTCATGATTATAATTTTCAATCATCATGTGATTATTCTCATCAATCACATAATCATAACATGTTTCCATACAAAGCCCATTAGCTCGCAATTAGACTCTCGTTCACCATCCATGCCATTCGAGCACTCTCATAGATGGAATAAATCATATTAGGTGACTACTCGCTCATGGGTACACACCGAGGTACCTTTCATAATCGAGCATCACGAGCTAAGTTATTTATCATAACTTAAGTTTGTCTTTACTCATAAACTTAATCTAACTAAAATCCCATATTTGAACTGATTCATTATCATAAGTTTTGATCAACTATCATTCATTTCAATTCATTACGTTTCCATTATCTATGGAATATGACACACATAAGTAAAGGAAAGTACAAACCATTCAAAAAGAGCAACATGCAAATAAGTATCATCAAGCATCATCAGGAGATAGAGCTTTAAACAAGTTTTCAACATATTCAACCGCATCTCATTTCAAGTTATGAAACTCAATATACACTATTTTTAGTGCCACTAACATTCCTGTTCCAGTAGTCTCGCTTAGCCACGACAAATCGAGGTCTCCTAGAGAGGCAAGTTACAATGTGCCATTTCCCCCAAATTAGAAGTCTCGTTGAGCGATCTATCTGTAGCTAAACGACCCTCTGCTTTCAGACTAGTATAAATTCATTTTTAAACCATCTTCTTCAATCTTTAACCACTTTAAGTCATGTGTAATCATGTCATGACACACTCAAGCATTTCATACCATGAAATTGACCTCATACAAGAATATTTATGCAACTGCAACACAACAACCATATAAGAATCAACACCATACAACTTCAATCCATAATCTCATAACATTACTAAAATATCAATACTCAACAACATAACATAAGACACAACATCAATACAACATGACTTCAAGAAATAATCTCATGACTTCATCACCAATCAATACTCAACAACACAACATAACATACAACATTAATATAACATATCGTCATGGATTACTAACAATAACAATAGACATTGAAAGAATCATGTGTCAATCATCAATTTCACAAACAAGTAAGGATTCATCAAAACCTTAAACTCAATTTCATGAAAAATCCCTCCCCAAAGCTATAGTAACTAAGAACCCACCTCTTAAAAGAAATGATGAATTAGTGATGATATGAAGTAAAATCCCCTTCCTCTTTTTTGATTCAAGCTTTGTTATTTATCTTCTCCTTTTCTCCTCATTCTCTTCTTTCTTACTAGAAAGAGAAATGAATATGAAGAATGAAATTTTCTTCACAAACTTGACTTAAATAATGTCAATGTAAAATGTCATTTTAAGAAAAATTACTAATGATTCCATTCCTTAATCATTCCACTAATTATATTTAATTAATATTTAATTATGCTCTAATAATCTCTTAAATGTCAACTTACCATTTAATTGAATATTATCACTTGACTATAAAATTTACCTAAAATCTTGATATCTCGTGAAGATCTCTTCTTCAAGTTAATTTAAATAGACCAACAATATAAAGGTTAAAAGAACAACCACATGCAATTGAATTTAATTTAAAAAATATTCTAGAAACCTAATATAAATGCAGTATAAACCCTATATTATATAAATTTGATATAAAAGCATATATTTAACGAACTTATACTAAATTTTTGGCTTAATTAGTCTCGAGATCTTTTAACTTGATTTAAAATTTTACGTATTTAATAAATATTACCTTTTAATTAATTAAAAACTATTATGTTAGCTAATTTAATATATTCTATTAACTTCTAACATCAAATATCTTATATGAGACAATATTTTGAATGTACATCATAAACTTTATTTATTTATACTTATAATTTTAATCATGTGATCTATTTATCAAATATCACACAATTGAATCTTGACAGTCTATTAATTATAATGATTCACGATTAACATCTAATGTTTTTTTTCTTATCTCCATCTTGTTTTCTTCTTCCTTTTAATATATATATATATATATATATATATATATATATATATATATATATATATATATATATATATATATATATATATATATATATATATATATATATATATATATATATATATATATATATATTCATCTTAAACCCATAAATTTTTTAATTAAATATTTTTTTAACTCATACTTCATTGAACAATTAAATCCTAAATTTTCTACTGGATAAATCAAATCAACCATACTGCATTA